AGCAACTCTTTCAGAAAAAATCTAAAAAATCTGAAAAAAATATATGTTAAACTACAATTAATAAACTTTATTTTAATGTAAAAATAAAAATTATTTCTTATTAAATTATAAATTTTTATATAAAAAGAAAATTTCAACTTTCACTATGTTTTACTAGTAAATTTAGCTCCTGAGTTATTACTTTTGATCACTACTATATATTATATTTTTTTAGTAATTATTTCTAATTATTATACTATTATAAAATTAATTAATTAAAGTTTTCAAAAATTGACTCCTAGCTGTAAAAGACTTAAGATACAAGAACTATTTTAATTATAAAATCATAAAAAAAATTTTAATATATATACTTTCAAAATCAGATAATACTTTTTGTAAGTATTATATATATATTTCAAATTATAATCTGCATTAATATTAAGTTTTAATTTGAATCAAAATACAAAATTATACTTCTATATCTTATTTTACAAAAATATAATAAATTTATCTTTATAATATATAATATATAACAAAAAAAATCAGATATTTTAATTTTCTTCATAAATATTTATTTAAATAATATAAAAATTTAAATATATATACTTGAAAGTATGATAAATAACTTTATTTAAGACTACTTAAATACTTATTTTATTAAAATTTTTTATAATTTATATTTCTAAAATTAAAAATTTTTAATAATAAGAAAACTTAAATAAATTATTATAAATAAATTTGATTATTATTTTGCAAATTAATCTTAAATAAACTTGTTTACTAGATTATTAAGTATATATATTTAAAATTTTATATAATTTAAATAAATATTTATTGAATAACAAACAAAAAAAGATTAAAAAAGTATTTTAAATTTTTTATAATCAATTTTTTCAAGAAAATATTTAATAAAAAATTTTAATTATGAAAAATTTTATTAAGATAAACTATTAAATACTTTTAAATAAACTGTTTCACTAGATTATCAAGCATATATATTTAAGATTTTATATGAATTAAATAAATATTCATTGAATCAAAAATAAAATATCCAGTTTTTTTTGTTACACACTGTATAAATTATTATATGATATGAATTTTAACTTATAATTTTATCTTTAATCTAACTTCTTATAATATTCATCTTCACATATATTAACTAAATAGACTGGTTCCATATAGATGAGGCAGATTATAATAGAAACTTGATATTTTAATAAAGGCAATTTAATTTTTTTGATCATGGATAATTTTTCAATTGCGAGATTTTGAATCTTGTCATTTTTTTCTATATATGAATTTGATATTTCCATATACATTTCCCAATAAAGGTTTTTGTAAACAAATATTTGTGCTCCTTATCGTTATCATTATGCATTCCTGATATACACCATGATTTTTCATAAGTATTCTGTTCATTACGTATATGATCCTTTAATTCTGATACATTCCAAGCAGATATCAAAAATGAGTTTCTTATACATCCTGTATACATTTCATCAGGTTCCTGATGTTCTTGTAATCATTGTGTATGATTCCGTTAAATCCCATATATACAATGTATAAATTCTGGGCACACTTTTCCCGCAGATTGTAAATTCGATGTGTAAGAATTCCATATTGTAAATTCATGTTTAAGAATACTGTAGAAATTCTGGGTATCCCTATGTGTACTGTAAATTCACTAATGAGAATTTATATAAAAGAATACAACAATAATCTAATAAGCTTCCATTTCCATGTATTGCTGCAACAACATGCTTTTATTGTTTATACCTACAACATGCAATAATTGCACATCAATTAACTTATGTCTCTTTAATGAAAAGTGCCACAAGTTAATATGACAATATGACAATAACAGATGCACATAATGAAAAATTTTAATAAACTTCCATCCATATAACACATACACAAATGCATGTTTAAATAAATTATAAAGTTTCTTTACACACGCGTTCTGTGTCATTTTGATACATACATTTGATATTTCGAATTTTGCTCACTTTTGGAGAGGCAACTGAATGAAATGTCGTAAAACATTTCCATCGTTAAGCCACATGTCATTTGGACTGTATACATGCAAGAATGATGCTTCTTTTGCATACATTTTTAGGTAGTATTTTAAACTAAATCAGAGGTAATTGAAATGGTGAGTGAATCAAGAACGTGAATATCAAATTTTTTCAATAATAGATTCGGACTACTCTAAAATTCAGTTAGCTTAAATATTATGGAATAACTAAAAACCTAATTACAAATGATATTCGAATGGGATCTTTGCAATCCAATTGCGATAAATTATCTTGGTTTAAAAAAGCAAAATATTTGTATTGGATTATCGACCCCAAAATCCTGAAAAGTCAAAATCAAATTATGTAATAAACATTGATGCGAAATGTGGGCCAATTTATATGTAACTTACGAGGGTAATGTTACGTTACTAATGAAACTATTTTCATGATGATGAATGACACGACAAAACCATTCGTCAGATGAAACCTGTGACGACTGACTAAACTGGGATTTTCCGCTGTAGAAAAGGCAACATCGATACCGCAAACTACATAAGCTTTTAATAAAGAACTGTTTAGAGTTTTTCGTTCTTCAAATAGGTATGGATAATTCCATGAGATCAAATTAATTGATGTGTACGTATAAAAACTTCTGTCTACAAATGAAAATTATAACAATGACAGTAATAACTTCTCAATGATTCATTTATATGAACTATAAATATACATACATGTACTGTATAACAAAATTTGATCAGAGTAATGATAAACTAATACATGTATATGAATATGCTACATTCTAAATGTGACGCAATTTTTTATAATATCCAATTGTTCCAATTCGATGCCGTTCTTCTATGCTATTACATGTACTATGAATGTACGCCTATGGAAATTTTCTAATGTTTTTTATATTTCATTCCATTTTTAATATATAACTCTATGCACTTTTCATACAAAACAATTGTTCTATACACACAAATGGAATCTATGACTCCGATTAAGCACAAGCGCATCAAATATGTATCGTGCATCAGTACCGGCACCACATGGATTAGTTAATTTATAATGCAGCATCACCAACAATCGAAGACGCAGTTATGTCATCATTCGGGGTGAAAAATAAAACGCACATTTTTGAAAAGTAACTTGTATTTACCTTTTGTGCGAAATTTCGCTATAAAGATGTGCTGTATAACCCTAACCCTAACCCTAACAGAAATTTCGAATGCTAATCAACCAATATACCAGTAAACACGTGTCGAGTCTATGTACACCTCAATAAAGTGAAGTGACTATTTTTTTTGTAATATTTAAATATGCAAATCATTTATTTTTAAATACCGAATCATCTATTACAAAAGAAAATGCAATTCAATCTATTCTTGACAAGAGATCAACTCCTATCTTAAAAAGAAATTTTTAAAATGCCCAATATAAATAGTCTACCTATCAAAGAATAAATGCAATAACAAAAACATTGTAAATATTAAAAACTAGTACACATTTATTTCCACGTACAATTCAAATAATTTATAGGAGTTTTTATCGAGTGGATTCGGCGAACTCAGTTACGCGGTAGCAGTCGGCGCTACGCTACTAGCAGTATTAGAACCAAGTGCATCTTGAATGCGAGCGTCTCGATCCGCGGCAGTGTCTAAATCAAACATGTATTCTTTAAATAAGAAGCAAAAATTAATTATATGAATTTTAATAGAAATAATAAATACCACAGGTGATTGAAGTTCCACTTTTAAGTAACAATGGCAGAGCAACGCACTGCAAACCAGGACTACATGCAGTCAATGTAAATTTTCCGCCAACACATTGCGCTACTTGGTTGTTAACACAAGCATTAGCCTGAGTAGTAGGATCACAAGATGAATTAGGGGTCAAACTTGCAAAGCTTTTATTCAAGGCTATAGCGTCGAGTGCATTCTGGTGTCTGATTTGTTTTATATCTTGACGACGGCCGAGAGATGGAGCTGCGAAAGTTGAAGATGATAGGATAACAAGAAGGAAAAGAGATGATACTGTTTGAACGAATTTCATTTTGAGTTTTGTTGATAAGAAAGTAGCGAGTATTAAATTGTTAAGGCTTTGAATGCTATTGAAATGTTATCACAAGAGTTTTTAAATTTTTCGTTTTTTTCTCTTGATCAAATTCTTTCTTTTATAACAAAAAGTCGTTTAGATGTTCACATTTAAATACGCGAATAAATAATAGCAAAATGTATATAACGATAAAGAACGCGTCGTAGTTTGTTGTAATATTTCATCTTACTAATTTAGACCCTTCCGTGTTGATAATTACCATTTTTATGAATTTGTCTGAATTGCGAGGAAAATTAATACAAGTTTCAAAATAAAATAATTTATTTAAAGTTGAACATTACTCCTCGAACATTATAAGAGGATGGAAAAAGGCTAGTAAAAAAGCGGTTTGAAAATTTCGATAAAGCTCCCGATATTCATTAAAGTATTATTAAGAAACTAAAAAGCACAAGATCTTCATTCTACATGTATACGATTTTCCCGAAAATGAACAAATTACAGTTAAATCCCAAACAGTTTTGTACCTCCTGCACTGGATCAAACCAATAGGGTTTTGATATAATCTCAAGAAGATTAAAGAATATACAATGCTGAATTGGATCAAACCAATAGAGGTTTGATAATAATCTCAAAAACAGTGGCCGAAAAAATAATAGGAACTAATTAAAATGAATTAAAAATCCTTCCAGACGTAAATGTTTCGGATTATAAGCGATTTGATTCAATCCTAAATGTAAGAATCAAACTGGCATATTAAATAGCTCCAATAATATTCTTCTAGAAAACAAATTGTTCTACTTTACTTTGAAATAAAAAAAGCGAAAAAAATTATCTAATATGCTACTCAAATTAAAATGTACTTTTTTCAGATAACAAGTACAGCAAACTTGCAAGATCTTTACGAAATATGTTGTTTATTTTTTTTGATTGATAGATAATTTTAAAAATAAGCTTTATATTTAATTTTCATTATTAAATTTCAAGATATTAAATTTAAAGAGATTATATAATAAATATTTATTAAAAATTATACAGTGATAACCAAAAGTAATGACTCAGGGGCTAAATTTACTAATAAAATATAGTAAAAATTGAAATTTTCTCTCTATATAAAAATTTATAATTTTAATAAGAAAT